ATTCCGAAAGAGAGAGAGAGAGCGAGAGAGAGAGAGAGAGAGATAGATAGAGAGAGAGAGAGAGAGAGAGAGAGAGAGAGAGAGAGAGAGAGAGAGAGAGAGAGAGAGAGAGAGAGACACTCGCTCAGACTGTCTTCAGCGTACTCAAAGAACTCTTGCGAACTGGGACCAGGAAGAGACAGCGTAGACGGGCTTGAATCTCGTTGACTGCTGTTATTACGGGTAATCTTATGCTCTTTCACCTCCTCCCCTCTTCTCACCCCCCTCCCTTTCATTCCACCCCCCACCCGTGCCTTCGCCTACCTGCCTCTGGATTGGGGGTCAGGGTCACATACCGACGCTAACGACTCATGGGGTTATTTCTGAGATCTCTCTTTCTCTTGCTTTCTTTCTCTCTCTCTTTCTGTCTCTTTTTCTTGTTTTTTTTTCTCTCTCTGTCTTACTGCCTCTGCCTCTGTCTGTCTCTCTGTCTGTTAGCTGTCTGTTTCTCTCTCTCTCTCTCTCTCTCTCTCTCTCTCTCTCTCTCTCTCTCTCTCTCTCTCTCTCTCTCTCTCTCTCTCTCTCTCTCTCCCTCCCTCCCTCCCTCCCTCCTTCCCTCTCCCTCCCTCCCTCCTTCCCTCTCCCTCCCTCCCTCCTTCTCCCTCCCTCCCTCCATCTCCCTCTCCCACACTTTCGCAGTCAATGTATCTGTCTACCTGTCTATCTATGTTCATCAATTCAGGGTTAATGGCCATTAAATTATGACTATGCTATAAGTAACAAAATCCTATTAAAGATAATGGCTAGATCAACAAAGGGAAATGGAAAATAGAAACAAACAATAAAAACACAGTGCAGACAAACAATAACAAACACAACATCAGCAACGCAACATCACAACACTCAACAAACACAACACCAATAGCAAACACAACACCAATAACAAACACAACACCAATAACAAACACAACACCAATAACAAATAAAACACCAGCAGCAATCACAACCAAAACTAAACACAACACCTATAACGAACAACAAAACCAATCACAATCACAACGACGCCAATAACAAACAACAATAACAACTCAGCGCTCACCCCCCGGCCTCCCTCCGCCCACGTGGTCGGCAGACAACCTCGGACGAAGAAGGAACTGTCACCTCTACGGACTCATTTCTACATCAAGGATGGGACAACAAAGACACTAACAAGGACAGTGGCAAACGCAAAAGCAAAGGAATGCGGTGATAACGATGACAAGTGCAAAGAGGGAAGATGACAGATGAAGTAGCAGTGATATTGATAAACGCATCAGCAGTGATGATAGATACAGCGGGTAAAGACAGTGACAAACACAGCAGAGCAAAGAAACACACAGTAATGACAGGCACGAAGAAACAAAACAAACACAGCACAAACAAACACAATTAACACCAGTCACAACAACAACAGCAAACACACCGAAGCAAGCAAAGACAACAAACACAGGACAAACAAACGCAAATAACACCAGTCACAACAACAAAAACAGCAACAAATACGCCGAAGCAAGCAAAGACAACAAACACAGCAACAAAAATGCCGCCTCTTTCGTGCGTATCCAGTGCGTTCTGTCCTTCAGTCGGAAATATTCCCATGGAGCGACTGCATTTATGGGGCGGGGGAGAGGGGGCGGGGGAGAGGGGGTGGGGGTGGTAATGGGGGTGGAGAGAGTGGGGGTGGGGAGGGGGTGGTAAAGGGGGGGTTGGGGGGGTTGTAGGGTGGGAGGGTGAAGGTCAGGCGGTTACTTAATTCTCTCCCTTTTTTATTTTTATGCGAGTTCACTGCGGTAAAGTGATGAAGATTTTCAAATCAGGAACAATTAAGATAATTTTTCGAAGACAAGTATGGTGCAATAAGAGTGTCTGTGTATATATATGTGTGTATACATACATACATACATACATACATATATATATGTGTGTGTGTGTGTGTGTGTGTGTGTGTGTGTGTGTGTGTGTGTGTGTGTGTGTGTGTGTGTGTGTGTGTGTGTGTGTGTAAATATTTTTTTTTCCTATTTTTTTACGTTCGTCCAAACCATTTCTTCCTTATTGTCCTCGTGAAGGAGATGAGAAATAAGGAGAAAAGGAAAGGCGATAAAAGAAGGACAGAAAGATGAGAAAAGAATAAGAGAGGGAGGTACGAGAGAGAGAGGATAAAGTGACGAATCAAAAAAAAAGAGAAAAGAACACAGAAAATATACACAAAGAACATAAACAAAAATACAGAACAAACTAATAAAAAAAGACCAAAACTGCGCAAAGACGAAAACACTTACAATGAAGGAAAAGGAAGGAAATGAAAAAAAAAAAAAACTAAAGACATAAAAAACGGGAAGAGGACGGGACGGGCACCAGCCTGGAAGCGAGTCACTGCACTTTAACCTCTGAGCTAAACAGGACAGCTGGAATGGACGGGGCAGAGAGACGGGGGAGGTGGGGGGAGAGAGGGAGGGGAAGAAGAGAGAGAGGAAGGAGTGGGGGGTAGAGGAGGGGGGGGAGGAGTAAGGTAGGGGAAGGGAGATAGAGGAAGGAGTGGGGGGTAGAGAGGCGGGGGAGGGGGTAGGGGAAGGGGAGAGAGAGGAAGGAGTGGGGGGTAGAGAGGCGGGGGAGGGGGTAGGGGAAGGGGAGAGAGAGGAAGGAGTGGGGGGTAGAGGAGGGGGGAAAAGGAGAGAGAGAGGAAGGAGTGGGGGTAGAGGAGGGGGGAAGGAGTAAGGTAGGGAAGGAGAGAGAGAGAGGAAGGAGTGGGGGGTAGAGAGGCGGGGGAGGGGGTAGGGGAAGGGGAGAGAGAGGAAGGAGTGGGGGGTAGAGGGAGGGGGGAAGGAGTGAGGGGGTAGAAGAGGGGGGGAAGAATAGGGCAGGGTAAGGAAGGAGGAGGAAGGAAGGAGGGGGGGAAGACAGGGAAGGGGGGAGAGAGGAAGGAGTGAGGGAGTAGAGGAGGGGGGAAGGAGTAAGGCAGGGGAAGGGAGGAGGAGGAGGAAGGGGGGGGAGAGTAGGGGAAGAAAGAAGGGCAAGAAGGAGGAAGGGGTATTAAAGATGGAAAATGGAAGAGGAGTAGAGTAGGGAGAAGAGTAGAGTTTCTAGAAAAGGGAGAAGGAGGAGGAGGAGGAGGAGAGAGGGCAGGTCTGGGGGTAGATGAAAGGGTAAAGGGTAAAGTAACGAGGGAAAGGGAATAGGGAAGATAGGATGAATTGGAAATAGAGGAGGTGGATAGAGTAGCAGGGGAAAGGGGAGGGGAAGGATTGGAGGGAATAGATAGTGGGCATAGGGGAAGGGGAAGGGGAAGGGGAAGGGACAAGGAGGAAGGGAGGGACAGGAGGATTGGGGGGTAATAAGACGTGGAAAAGGAATGGAAAGAGTGGAAAGAAGAAGGGAAAGGAGAAAAGTTGGATGAATAGACATAAGAGAAAAAAAAGGAATGAGGAATGAGAGTAAAGAAGGGAGTTTAGAAGAGCAGTGGGGGAGAGGAGTGGCAGGGGCAAAGGACTTGGAGGATGAGGTGGATAGCGGTGTCTGTGGGGGGGGGGGAGGAGTGGAAAAGGAAATGGGGGAGGGGGCAGGAGGGCAGGGACCCCGGGCAGAAGGGGAGGGGAGGGCACTGGGTATGAATGACCGCTCGGTGCATGACAGTTGCCTAACTCTTCGATCAGTCAGTGGCATGACTTGATCTTCCGTAACTAATTTGAAAGACAAATCAAACGAAAATGCACTTGTAAAATTAGATGACTAATAAGGAATATAAAAAGAACTTGATAATCAAAATAAATGCTAACAGTCACAACATCAGTCGTGCAATTTTTAAGAAGAGAGAGAGAAAAGGGGAGGAAGATAGATAGACAAGAAAAAGACAGATAGAGAGAGAGGGGGGGGTGATATGGAGAGAAAGAGAAAATTAATAATAACCAATAACCGGATGTATTGATAGACACAGAAGAGAGTGATATAAAAATAAAAAATCAAATATCTTGCTTGCACAATGAAACCCACCAATTCATTTTATTTCCTTTCCGCCTAACCGCATGTAAATAGATTTATTGCGAAGAGTGACGTGACACTTAATGCCACAGTAATTCAAGGACGATGGTTTGAAGTGACACTGATGTCTGACACCGGACACTTCACAGTTCATACATCCAGCATGCAGCAGTCCTTGAATGCCGTCTAAAATGCCGATACGTCATTCACTTCACTCCGGTTCCATTTTCTCCGCTCACGTGCCAGTTCTCTCTTGTGTTCTCTCCCTCTCTTGGTTTTCTTCTCTCTCCATTTCTGGCTTCTGCGTGTGTGTGCGTATACGTGGGTGTGTGTGTGTGTGTGTGTGTGTGTGTGTGTGTGTGTGTGTGTGTGTGTGTGTGTGTGTGTGTGTGTGTGTGTGTGTGTGTGTGTGTGTGTGTGCGTGTGTGTGCGTGTCTCTGTCAATATATCCATGTTTCTGTCGCTGTCTTTCACACCCACTTTTATTCTCCATTTTCTCCCACTCTCTCTCACTCTCTACCCTCCTCCTCCTGTAGGCCCACGCACGTTAGCGCCGCGAGCGACAGAGAGTGAGACGCGAGCATCCCAGATAGGCCTACGAGGAAAGGGAAACCATCGCACACACACACACACGCCGCAATAACTCTTACCAAAACACCGCCAGCGCTCCCGCCACTTGGCTTCGGGAATTAAGCGCTCTTCCCTTCGCTCCACGGCTGATACGGCACGGAGAATAAGTATAAAAAGGAACGAAAGGTGATTGTGACCATTGAAAAAAAGTCAGGTAAATGAAAATGCTTTAACAAAAACACTGTGTAACAAGTGCATGTTCACAAAACCATTTGTATTCGAGGATCTTAAAACACACGCGGCACAAAATAAAACTTCGGACCAACGACACCCCCCAAGCACAAACGAAACACACGACGGAAAAAAAGACAAACACTTCCATCAAAACACCAAATAATAAAAACACAACAGAAAGAAAACCTTCGCAGATATTATACCTCAGCGACGTCGACGACAGAGCGGCAGAGAGCGCGTGGCGTGGCTGTCTCCGTGCGCTTTGGTGATCGTCAACTGTTACGCGCCAAGAACCCAACCCTCTGGCTCAGCCCTGGACGCCGATTTCCGCTTCCAGGCCCCGGCGTGTGTGTTCCTGGATCACTACCTGGGTTACCAAAGAAGTCTTTTTCCCTCTGGCTGATTGTTTTTATTTTGGAGTGATACTATTTTGGGATTTGGGGGGGCTGGTTTGGGTATGATTTTGAGGGTATTTTTTCTCGTTTTTTTTTTTTGGTCTCGTGTATTTATGTTATGTTTTCTGTTTTCTCCTAGATTGTCACGGCCTTTGAAGAACGAGGTTGCAGCAGAAGTCGCGCAAGAAGCAATTCCAGCTGAGGATTTCTACGGCGATTCAACGACCCGGGTTTATGCAACAGAACTCCCGTTGCATCTCTTTTGCACGCTATACTCCGTGATATTTTTCCTGCTCGTGATCAACAGCTTTCCTCCGAAAGGAAAGGAATAAAAAAACATGCAAATGAAAATCTCCATCTGAAGAGAGAAAATCGGATAATTATGACTGCGGTGGAGGGAGAAGGGGGGAGGGGAGAGGAGGGAGGGGACCAGTCCACCCACTACCCACTCCCTGCTTTACCTCTTTCCCTGGATCCGCCACTCCTCTTTCCTCCAACACTCCCTCTCCCCCTCAATTTCTCCTCTTCCCCACCACTCCCTACCTCTCTCCTTCTACCCCCCCCCCTCTCTCTCTCTCTCTCTCTCTCTCTCTCCCATCCCCAACACTGCCCCTGCCCTCCGTCACCCCTCCCTCTCCCTCAACACACCATCCCCTCCTCTCCACTCCCTTCCCCCCACCACTCCCTCTCAGCCTCTCCAACCCTTCCTCTCCCTTCCCCCCCCCCCCACCACTCCCTCTCCCATCCCCCCGCCATTCCCTCTATCCCTCCCCTCCTCCCCATACCCCTACCCCCACCCATTCTTTCTCCCCCTGCCCCATCACTCCCTCTTCCCCCATGTCCCCCCCCTATCTTTCCCCCTTGCCCCCCTCCTACCCCCGCCCACTCCCCCCCCTCCTCACAACAGCCCGAGGTGGCAAATTATAACTTTTTTTTTCTTTTAGCCGAGCGTTTAGCGTCGACGTGACGTGACTAACTTGGGATTCCTTCGCTCCTTTTGCCTCTGTCGTTCACGTGCGTTTGCTTATCTGCTGTTATCTCTCTTATCTCTCGTTTGGATTGATTTCTATTGAGTTTTATCACCTTCATTTATTATAATTATTGGTGAGATGTTATTATTTCAGTTCATCTACATCTTTTATTTATTTATATATATTACTTTTCATCTCCTTCATCTGTTTTCTTTTTCTCTTCTTTTCTTTCTCTTTTTTCGGTGGAATTATTGGATATTTAATTGAGGAGTTATTATTTCTGTAAACTGCGTAGTAGGATTCCATTATCTGTGATTTCACTTTATTGATATGCCCTAATTTGGTAAGTAATTTTACTTCATGAATGCGATTACCTACAATTATATCATTATATGTATATGATATTAAATACAGTATATATAATTATATATGGCGTTACAAGTAGATTGAGCGTAATGCTGTAATGTTATGTAATATCGAGTTAATTCACTAAATCGAGATTAAGAAACCCCGTCATTTCAAAATATAAATAATGTTTTTTTTTTACTTTCTTTATCCCCTTCAACTAAAGATAAGCGCGAAACACCACAGAACAAATACAAATGATTCGGTTCGGAAATCTTCTTTCAACAACCTCTTCAACAACCCCCCCCCCACCCACCCCACCCTTCCCCACCCCATCCTCTATTCCTTCCCCTTCCCCTTCTCCTCCCCCTTCCCCTCCCCCTCCACCTACCTTGCCCTCCTACCCCTACCCCCCATTCCACCCCCACCCCACCCTGAGGCAACCTGCACTCTCCCACGGCGGGAAAATTTCACCCTCTCGACTGCAGGTGTTGCGACGCGTTGCACACCTTGCAGGCTCGCAAACAAACACACGATTCACAAACACGCGATGAACAAACACAGCGCAAACACGCATAGACACACAGCGCAATGAAATGATGCAGACACACAACTACACATGTTAATACAGGACATACACACAACGCACATACATGATGCACACACTTGCCACAAGTTTACTAGCAACACAAATGCAACATAAACTAAAAGGGAAAAACACACACACACGTAAACACTAAAATCCACACAGACGCAAACACACATACGAACACACAAACTTCGACGTAAATAGAAACACAGCTCAAACATACAACAACAATACACAACAAAGACACACATGCACGAAATTATATACAGCGCAAACACTACATAACCACACACACAAACGCAAGAACACACCGTAACACTCAATTACAGATGGGAAATGCACCCGATATTATTATAATTGTGTCTTTTTTCTACACGATGAAAGAAGAACACACAGTAGCAGTAATAATCTACGTAGAAAAAAAGTATGAATGAGAATGAATATCTTCACACCACAAGAGATATATTTCTGACGTATTTCTGATGAAGATAAGATTCGAAACCGGTCGAATATCTTGCGCTGGGAACATATTCATTCTCATTCATACTTTTTTATATACATTTGTCGCCAAGAAAACTGTATCTTGTTTTTTTTTCTGTTGGTATAACGGTCGTGCTCTACATAGTTTTTTTTTTTTTATTTCTGCGTTAAGTACAAGCACCCAGACGAGTACATAACCTTTCAAAAACAGAGCTAGAACATACGAAATATATCATTTTGTATTTATGTTTTTTCTCTCTCTTGCTGTGGCTCTTTTTTTTGTGTTTCTTTACTGTATCATTCATAAAAGAACATACACAGATAAACAAATTCGTTAAAAGGAGCATTATATTGGTGTTATTTTTGCCTCTCTCTTTTCGTAAGGTTTGTGCTTGTGTGTGTGTTGTTGTTCCAAGCGCACGCATGGAATATTTTATCAATATTTTCTTTTTTTTCGTTTTGTTCGTTCGCCTGTTTGTTTGTGTATTTTCTATTCTGGGATTCTCAATCTTCCCGTTTCCTGTTTTTCTCGCAGGTTCTTTTTTTTTAAGAGCAAAGAAAGCGAATATAGAGGGAATATGTTTTCATCATATACATTGACGGAAGAAAAACGATTCTCTCTCTCTCTCTCTCTCTCTCTCTCTCTCTCTCTCTCTCTCTCTCTCTCTCTCTCTTTCTCTCTCTCTCTCTCTCTCTCTCTCTCTCTCCCTCCACCGCCCTCCCTCTCTCTCTCTCTCTCTCTCTCTCTCCCTCCACCGCCCCCCCTCTCTCTCTCTTTCTCTCTCTCTCTCTCTCTTTCACTTTCCCTATCTCTCTCTTTCCCTTTCCCTATCTCTCTCTCTCTCTCTTAACCTATTCATTCGTCCACAGAAAAAGTAAGAACAGGAAGCGAAGAAAATGAAGAACAGAGAAATACAAAAAGGAAGAGAAAGAATAGATAAAAAAGAAGAAAGGGAGGGACCAACATAAAATGATAAAGAGAGAGAGGAAAGATTTGATAAAGGAAATGACAGTTAACATAAATGAATAGAAGGAGACGGAGAAGGAAGAAGTAGTTAGAAGAAAAGGGAAAAGGAAGTGACCTCTGACCCCTAGTCCTCTCCTCCCTTTGCTCTTTCCTTTTCATTCCCTTCTCCCTTTCTCCCTCTTCGCTGTACCTATGTTGTTTTATGATTATCCTTATCCTTACCTTTCTTATCTGCTTCTTTTAGTCATTTTCTTCGTTTCTTATATTCATTATTCTTATGTCTTATTCGCTGTTACGTTCTTTTATTCTCAAGATTCGTGGTTTCTTCTATCGTTTTTTATTATTTATCTATTTATTATTATTTTTTAAAAACATTTTCCCCCGCATCTATCCACGTACAAACATGGCTACCTCTCCCCCCCCCCATACTCCCTCCCACGCGTACAACCTCCCCCACCCCCCCCTCACACATACGCTCACCCCCCCCCCCCCCTCTGCCTCGGCCCCACAGAACAAACCAACACTAACAAGGCCGCCCGCGACTCCATTGAGATCCACACGTGCACGCCCACTCCTTCTCCTCCTTCTCCTTATCTTTCTTCTCCTCCTCTTTATCTTTCTTCTCCTCTCTCTCCTTCTCCTTCTCCTTCTCCTTTCCTCCTTCTCTTCCTCCTTCTCCTCCTTCTCCTCCTCCTCCTCCTTCCCCTCTTTCTCCTCATCCTCGTGTTCTTCTTCCTTCTTTCTCCTCTTCCTCCTCCTCTTTCTCCTCCTTCTCTTTTTCATCCTCCTCCCTCTCCTTCCTCCACCTTCTCCTTCTCCCCGTTTCCCTTCCTTCTCCTCCTCCCCCTCCTCCTGCTCCGCCTTCTCCTGCTCCTCCTCCTCCTGCTCTTCCTTTTCCTCCTCCTATTTCTCCTTCTTCCCCTTCTCCTCCTCCTCCTTCTCCTCCTACTCCCCCTCCTTCTCCTCCTCCTTCTCCTTCCTCCTCCTCCTCCTGCTCTTCCTTTTCCTCCTCCTCCTTCTCCCCGTTTTTCCTCCTTCTCCTCCTCCTCTTTCTCTTTCTTCTCGTTTCTCCTCCATATCCTCCTCTCCCCCTCTTTCTCATTTTCCCCTCCTCCTCCTCCTCCTCCTCCTATTCCTCCTCCTTCTCCTCCTTCTCCTCCTCCTTTTCCTCCTCCTCCTCCTCCTCCTATTCCTCCTCTTCCTCCTCCTCCTCTTCCTCCTCGTGGGCGCCTCGAGAGTGCTCTACTTGTGATAATGACATCCTGTGTCTTCCTGCGTTGCTTCGCTGCTATTAAAGGTCTTTACACTCTTTCCTTTTTTTCCTGTTTTACTTCGTTATTTTCTCTCTCTCTCTCTCTCTCTCTCTCTCTCTCTCTCTCTCTCTCTCTCTCTCTCTCTCTCTCTCTCTCTCTCTCTCTCTCTCTCTCTTTCTCTCTCTCTCTCTCTCTCTCTCTCTCTCTTTGTCCCTCCTTCATTGCAATTTCTCAACTAGTGTTTACCATTTATTCTCTTATCTCCATCCCATCGCCTTAATTACTTCTCATTCTTCCTTCCAGCCTTCCATCTCCTAATTTTTCTCTTCT